GAGGGGTGCTATACCTGTAGCCTCAAAGGACCTGTGTATCAACCCCTGAGTGAACGTACTCGTCCACGCCTTCCAGAACAGGTGGAAGAAGTCGCCCTTCTTGATAACCAACAGTCCCTGGCCATGGTGAAGGTGTGTTGTGAGCTCCTTTGAGTACGCTGTTGAGAGAGGCTTGAACATCACCACATCGAGTGGCTGGAGCGTGTGGGTTGAATGAGGAGGAAGTATAGCCAAGAGTATCCTGTTCTGATCGCAGTAGTTGATGAAATCCATCGTAACGTGAGATCCATGGCCATCTAGTATCAATAGGCGGTACTTTCTTCGTGCTTTCTTCTTGGTATAGCGATCAAACACCTGTTTGAGCCAAGCAAGAGCTACCTTGTTGTTCGTCCAGCCTGAAGGTGACGAGGAAACAAAAACAGAGTGTACCCCTGGCTTGATTTCCTCCACCCAGCTTGACTGTATAGTGTTGTTGGTAGACTCGTATAGGAGGCCTGGTGGCAGTGCCGATCCATCCCCACACACACACGCTATAAGCGTCACCCAGGCACGATTACCATCTTGAGTAGTTGCTGTAACCTCCTTCTTCTCCCACATACGTCTACTGAAGACGTGTTTGGTCCTTATGGTGACTCCAATCATGAAGCCCTTCTCATCCATATTGTATGTGTGCTCAGCGTCAACGTTGTATTGGGCAATTTTGGACTGCAACAGGTCAAAATAGAGCTTGTACTTGGTATACAAATTGGCGTTGTGGCGATTGCTGTCCATACCCGTTGAGTATTGAGAGATGAGATGGATTGAGTGGTTGTTGATGAAGCGGGTAACCCAGCTCTCGCTGACTGGCTCTGTGGCTATTGATGACGCAAAATTTGCTATCATTTCCCTTGTAGGAGGTAGACGTCGGGCTGTAAGCTCCTCTATATACTTGACAAGCTCGTCCTCTTGTTGTGGAGTGAGCTTTTGTTGTGCAATTGCCTGCTCTTCACGCGATCGCGTTTCTCCTCGGTACTTGCGCGTCAACGTAGAGCGCACAACACCATGCTTTATGGATAATTGCGTCCAAGGGATGTTTTTGCATGGCATCATAGCATCTATCTCTTTAATGGCTTCCTCTAGCGTCATTGTGGCATTGAGTTATGGTGTTGTGAAGTATGGGTGCATAAAGCGTCTTGGCGCATTGCGCAAATCCGCGCATTGCGCGCACAGACACGGTACTGTGTCTGTGCGCGTGCCGCCCGTGTTCGCGTGCCGCCCGCCCCAACCACCTCATAGCTCAACTAAAAATGAGGCTCTACAGCTACCCACAATAGCTATTATCAAGAGATTCCTTGGTGGAGTACTATAGTGATGCTTGCGATCAAACTGTCTCATATATATCTACTCGGCCAATTGATGTTGCGGCCACTGGCGGACTGTTTGGGTGGAGGAGCCGGAGGAGCCACAGGCTCAGCTACACTACCTATAGCAGCCCCAGCACCACGATTCTGCTTTTTTCTTGCTCCTTGTTGGTGTGAGGCCTTGCGCTTGCCTTTTTGAGGCTTTTGTATAGCTTTCTTGGTGTTGTGAGGTTGCTTATTACCCTCTTTTTGAGCCTTGTGTTCAGCAGCTTCTTTATCCTTTATAGCCTTCAGCTGCGCGCACTCCTCTCTCCTCTTTTCTTGCACAACTTTCTTCTCAGCATTAAGCCTTTGTTTAAGCAGCTTGTTTGACTCATGTACTGCCCTTCTGTTAGCCTTCCGGGCCTCTTCATCCTTCTCTTCTTGCTCAAATATACGCTGAAGGTGTTGTGCCTCATTCACTGACCAATGAGAGTACCACTGAGTCTTAGCGCAAGTCTCCTTGCGTTGAATAAGTGGCAAAGGTTTGCCCTTCTTAGGCCTGCTCTTTACACCATTGAGAGCGAGCTGCAGGCCCTCTCTCTCTATTTTTAGAAGCTCGTTCTCAACAGAGAGATGGTGAAGGATTTGCCTCAACTTCTTTGCCTCATCTGTACTTGGGTCCTTCACTGAATGCCGCCAAATCTTGTCAGTACTTCGCCATTCTTCTCCGCTATTAGCTGACGGTATAACAGCTCTTTCAGCTTCAGGTCTGGGGAATCAATCGAGTATAATGTTGGGGTTGAGCGGTACTAGACCAGTTGCTTTGAAGGAGCTGAGTATCAGCTTCTCGGTGAAGGTGTTGACCCAGGCCTGCCAGAAAAGCTTGAAGAAGTCACCCTTCTTGAAAGGGAGTAAGCCTTGGCTTTGGTGAAGGTGTTTGGTGAGCGCTTTGCTGTAGTTTGATGCCAACGGGCTGAAGCATACTACATCAAGCGGCTGAAGCGTGTGGGTACTGTGTGGAGGGTAGATAGCTAGCAGGATTCAATATTTGTCGCAGAGCTTGATGAAATCCATTGTTATATGGGAGCCATGACCATCTAGTATTAATAGGCGTCGCTTTCCATGAGCTTTGCACTTAGTGTAGTGGTTGAACACCTGTTCAAGCCAGGCTAACCCTATGTCGTTGTTTGACCAGCCAGAGGGAGAGACTGTAATGAATACTGAGTGCTTCTCCTTATCCATATCGCTCACCCACGTTGATTGTATGTTCTTAGAGTCAGCCGCATATATGAGGCCTGACGGTAATGCTGTACCATCTGCGCAAACACATGCCAACAGGGTTATCCACTCACAATTGCCATTGTGGAGTGACTGCCGAGCGTGCTTACGCATATATGAAGCCTTGCTGAACACTCGTTTTGACCTGCCAACAACTCCAGCTGCAAAGCCCTTCTCATCCATATTGTATGTGTGCTCAGGCTCAATCCCATACTCAGTGATTTTGCGTGTTATAACGTTGAAGTACTCCTTGTACTTATCGTAGGAATTGGCAGCGTGGCAATTGGCAGCCATAGGGGAGGTCCATCGATTGGTGAGTACATCTTTGTGATGGTGGAGGAAGTGAGTGACCCATGTCTCAGAGACATCAACTTTGGCTATTCCACGTACAAAATTCTTGATCATCTCTCTTGTAGGTGGAAAGTGATGCTCAGTAAGGCTTATAATGTACTGTACAAGCTCCTCCTCTTGTTGTGGGTTGACCTTGAGCTGGTTGAGGTTCTTGGTCTTCTGATCCATCTGAACACCTCGGTGATGCTGTGATAGATGTAAGGGGCGAGCTGCTGAGGGCAATATGCAATGTAGAACTTGATGGATTTGATAAGGGGCAAGTCCCAGAGCGGGACTTGCAGAATTCTAATACTCCCGCTTTGGGGGTGGCAGGCCCACTCCGGAGGTTGTACGTCCACTTCGGAGGTACCAAGGCCTGTGCTGTTGCCGAGGCGCTAACAATGGGCCTAGCCCATTACAATAGAGTTGTGCAATCAACACCATGATTGGTAGCAATTTTCTGGTAGCAAAGTTTGTTGCCAGGATTCAAATTATTAATCTGCCTGATTGCATCATTTATTCCAGGCATGGTTGTTGTATTGCGATATGTTGAGGTATAGGTGTAGCTTATGGTGATTGGGCGGCACGCAAACACGGGCGGCACGCGCACAGACACAGTAAGCCACGCTCGGCTATTTTGTAGACCTCTACCCACAGCCACCCAAAACAGTATTCTGAATCTTAGCCTTAGTACTGCACATGAATCGTGTTTGTTCAGCGCGTAAGTGGCGATGGTCTTATTTTATTCTATTACCCCCCTGCTGCTACTATTGTTTCCTCCTTCATTCTACTACCTCTAGTACATACAATGCCTCCAAAACGAAGACGACTTGATCTTGAAGCTCTGCGCGAGCGAGCACGGAATGAAGCAGCTCCCCCACGGATCACTACAGCTCAGCTTGAGGCTGAATTGCCGCCTGGGAGAGTGCAAGACTTTCGGTACACTATCCGCCTGTGGAAGCAGTACGACTCCTGAAATGTGCAAGCTAGACACGTCGCGCTAATAACCGATAGATTTTCTAACGAAGTACTTCAAGAGCCTATCGAGGACGAGCTGTTTGCATGCATTCCTACTGTGTACAAAATAGACACATTCCTTGAATAGTTTGCGGATTCACGCACTAGCATCCTTGAAGAGGTTCTTACTAATACTACACTGCGGAATTGTCTTGCAGCGCTCAAAAAAGCAATCAGACTTTTCACAAACAGCAGGTATAGCGCTGCAGATAAGGCTTAGCTGCAGAAGACAATTAAGCGGCTCATTTCGACTAAGAAGGTGACTACTGCTAGATATGCAAAGCCTATTGCTATAGTAGATGTCTTAAGAGATATCGTCTACTTTATGTGGGCCTGTGACGAGTACTAGTTCTTACATCCAAGATGGTTCTTACAGCTAGCCTTCCTCATCACTATATATACTTACCTAGGCACTCGTCCTAGAGAAGTGATTAAGTCTGATGCATGGCTTGGGAGCAACAAAGGTCTCTTATACGGGGATTTCACACTAAAACGCTGCACGTCAGGGACACAACAATACCAACTTGTCATCAGGTTGCGGAATTGGAAAGGTCATTGAAGTAACAAGAAAAATGCGTACGTATTCTTGTCAAACTCCAGCATAAGGGAAGTCTAACGCATATAGTCCTGGATTTCAGATGTACGAAGTTCCAGAAGACAGGTCACTGTGTGTCGTGTCGGCCTTTCTTAGCCTTGCCCTTGCGGACAGGGCGTTGGATGGCATTGAATCATTCAGTGACCTTGAACGAAGACAACCCGCACTAGGATCGAACATAGTCACGTACCGCGTTAAGGACAGCGTGAAGTCTATCCCAATCATGCGAGCCATCAGTTCATGCGGAGAAGTCTCAGAAAATCGCATTCTTACGTACAACTGCTCATATACCGCGTTGCGAGGCCTAGGACAGCGTGCCAGCTACGGAGACACACTCACTAGTTATTGTTTCCGGCGCTCTTTCGCCCGGCAGCTTGATAGTAAGAGTTGTAGAGTTGATCTGCTTGCATTATGCTGACAAATATAGGGGCAGTGGGGTCTGAAAAGCGAAGGAGAGGCATGGGGCACAAGACCAACAAAACGATCGAGTATTACAAGACGGGAATTCAGGATCTTGACACGCAGGCGATTATTAGAGGCAAACTACAAAGATTCGAGCTCATTGAAGAGTCCATCTCCATGATGGAGACCCGAGACCTAGCTGCGCCTCAGCTGCCTGGGGCTCAGCTTGTGGGGGCGGCATCCCACTTGCGTCACCGGACTGTCCCTTGCGATGACGACGCTAGAGACGACTTGGAAAGTGACCCAAACACTTCTAGTTCCGATAACGCCTTATCAAGTGACGATAAACACGACGACAAAGGATCTAGCCAAGTACAACCTTCTGTTCTGACAACTGCTAAGATGACACCTGCTCAGCAGAACTACGCCAGAAGACAGTCTCGAAAGATTGCGTACTAAAAGGCTCGCAAGGATTTCTTCCAAGGCCAGGATGATTACTCCTCAAGCACACCAGAGCTGGACTCATTGGACGCATCAACGGCTTCGCCTGGTCAAACTGGCCAGATTCGGCAACCTTCTCGATACCTGAAGGCCTTGCTCAAGTACCAACCTTGTCGTCGCAGGATCATTGAGCTGTTATATCCAGCAGGCCGATTGCACCCAGAAAATGCGCTGCCTTTAGCCAATATCGTTGAGCAATTTTTGTACATGGCTAGCCCAAACAGAAGACATTACATGTACTGTGGAGTAGAACTTTGACAAGATCATAGCTGCGGCATATGTGGGAAGGCTCTAGAAGTGTAAGTTTACTCTACAAGTTTAGGTAGCCTTACTCAACAATCGCAGGCGTCGCCTAGCACGTATGAATGACCACTTGCTGGCATGCACACGTCGAAAGCAAATTAATGAGGAGAAAGCCCGCATGAAACAGCATTTCGAGAGTCTTGGCAGATGTGCATGGAGCGATTGCAAATATCGATTCCAAGACAGGTCTTGCGAGGCGTACGCTACGCATATTGACATTCACCTCAAGAAGATGGAGACAAATTACTGCCTCTGGTCCTCTTGCACTGGCTCCTTCACCAAGCCCTTTCAGCTCGCTTGCCACATCTCCGAAGTCCACGGCGTTCTAAATAGAGGGACAATTCCTACAAGGCACTATTACTGCTATGAGCATGACACATAGTGTTTGTCTCAACATACATAGCACTAGCACATCCTATTAGAGCACTTTCCACATCTCAACGACTACTGCAGCCTCCTTAGAATTAGTAGTGTAGTAGTTATTGCCGCTATCTGCGTGTTTTGCCTTAGGGACAGCAACCTCAACACTAGAGAGCGATGGACTCAATTTAATGACGTGAATAAGTTACATTGGCATATGAAGTCTTACCTTGACAAGATCAGCACATTAGGTATCATATGTCCACATCCTAGGTGCAAGGAAAGTGTACTCTCGAAGGATGCGTTCTGGGATCATGCTATTTTGGTGCATGGCGTGCCGCTATTCGGGCCAGCTGGTGTTACGAAAAAGCGAAAAGGTGCAGCTGACCAAGGCGATGAGGATGAAAGTAGCGGCCAGGGCACACCCAAACCGCTCTGTGCAAGCCCCAATTCTAATTAAAAATTCATGCGTTCTACTAGGCGCCTTGAAGCGGACACATCAGGACTAAATGAAGCATTTAGGCCTACTTTCGAGGAGCCTACTGTAGCAGAAACACCCTAAGATCCAGCTTGAAGTCTTTTGTACCACAACGTAATGCCTGTTATATCAAACAGCGAACATTTACTAATAGCAGTATTCCGCAACCGCTCTAGTCCAGGGCAGGTCTAAGAAGCATCCCTGTGCCTTTCTTAGATTAGAACAGAACGTCAAGTTTCGTGCTGAACCACATTCAGCATAGCCCTAGGGGCATAGGTTTTGATTCCTGAATTATTCAAATCAAACACCCGGAATCAGAGTCAAATCAGGCCAAGTCAGCACAAATCAGAGTCAAATCAGAGTCAGGTGTTGTTGGTATTTTTGTATAGTTATACTGCAAATAGGGTCCTTGGAGCCTCACTGTCGCTCCCATGATTACTGTCAATGTAGTCATTTGGCAGTCTATAAGCAACACCACGGTGTGACCAGTCCTTCAACAACTCCAAGCATCTAATTGTGTTGGCACTCAACTGAGATCTGTCCCACGACGTTGTCCTTCTTGCCTTACTGAATGTTTGCTCCGACTCAGCACTCATTGCAAAGGCAGAGAGCACATCAATGGCAAGTTGTGACAGGGCAGGGAAGGTTTGTCGTTGTGCTGGCTGGGCCCACCACTTAATAACTGTCATTTGTCTCGGCAGTCAACTTGGAGGAGCAAAGATGAAGGCTTTGAAGTTGTCCTCACTGTCTGCAACAACAGCTGATTGTTGTTGCCACCACTGAAAGGCTGACAACTCAGCTGCAGAGGTATCTTGATCCCTTGGGCTGCTGGACAGGGTAGGCTTTAGCCAATCACGGTATATATGCCACAAGGCCTCTGCCTGTTGCAGACCTAATTTCAACCACTTCTTCTTCTCTGTTGTATTCCATTGGTTCTGTAGCCATTTGTAACGACGCTCTGGGTGCAGGAGGGCAGCTGTAATGTAGGCACCACTCTCATCAATAAGCGTGTAGTACTTGCTAAAGAGAAACCAGGCCATGTTTAGTGGGGCAAGCAGGGTCTTGTGCTTGGAATGGTGCCTCTGTTAGTCTTCGAAGTGGTTAATCAGGAATTCCATGGATGGTTGGAAACAGTCAAGGGTTGCCTGATGTCCCTCTGCCTTAAGAGTTACCTCCTTAAAAGGAAGAAGGAAATTGTGGACATGTTTTAAGAGTGTCCAGTCGTTGTCTGTAAGCACAACTAACTCCAGAGCATCAGGATACCTTGCATACAATGCGCTGAGGATAGGCCTTCTTCTGAAGGCCTCTTCAATCATAAGAAGCCAACAATTCCACCGTGTCTCGCCTGGGATCTTGGGGATAGTTGCTGGGCACTCTGGAAACCCTTTTGCCAGTCTCTTAAAGGCTTGATTAAACTTGTCATCTCGCAGAATAACTGCAAAACTGCGGAGTTTTGTGAGTGCAGGGTGTCGTACAAGGGCTGTGTCCCCAATGTTGTAGTTACTCTCACTGTAACTCTCTGTCCCGTCCCTGTCAGACTCTAGTTGTGACAACCTTGCTGTTTCATATGCCAGTTCAGCTGCTTCTTTGTTGGTTGCAAACATAAAGGCCTGGGTGGCGAGGTTGATAATATGGCCAATGCAACGTAGTCTTCGTGTCTTCTCAGTCCAGTAGTTAATGCCTTCAGCACGCATAAAGGCCTCAATTGCACAAACAAGCATGTCATTCACTCCTACATTGTCAGATGTTATCCAGCCTAAACGTGTAGTAAGGTTGTACTCCTTGATAGTCTGTATAAGAAGTGTAGCCAAGTATGCCCCAGTTTTAGACTCTTCGTTGTCAATGTCAACAAGGTCAAGAAGGAGTTGAACTAGCTCTCCGTTTTGGTCAACAAACTGGACATTTACTGCCTGGAAGTGCTTGTGCCCATGCATTGTCTTCCATGTGTCAGTGCTGATGTGGAAGCAGCTGATTGTATCATTGCAGAGGTACCAAATAACCTCCTCTTGTTGAGCACGGAAGTTCTGGACAATGCGTAAGGACAATGAGCTACTAGAGCAAAGCAACACATGCTCAGCCTCAGGGTTGACAGCCATAATCAATGCTTTGAATTCGTTAGAGACCACTGGTTTGTGTGATATACTGCACGCTGTCACAAAGCAGGCAAGGGCATTGCGGAACAACTGCTTTTAAGCAGCATTGCGGAGGACTGTGACGGTTTGATTGTGACTGGATTCAGCATGCTTCATAGCCATATTTTGAAGGCCTTGTTGTAGACTGTTGGCTTGTGCAATTGTTGAGGGTGTAGTTGAGAATCTGCCCACAAAGATGGCATGTTTTCGAAGGTGACGAGCCGCATTGCTTGATGGGCCCTTCCAGTTACAATTGTCCTCTGCACAGTAGAAGATTTGATGGCCATGATCATCCCTCTCTGCCTCATAGGGTAGCCGTGCTCTTGCGTGCTTCCAAACTGACTTGTCCTTCTGCCCAAGGCCCCTGTGAGGTGTACTGCTGCCTCTCTTCCTCTTGAGAAACTGTGCCCCAGTCTCTGTTGCAGGAGTAACTGGCAAAGGCGTCAAAGGTGCAGTTGATTGGGACTGGCTGTCAGCATTGGTGAGGAAGGTGGCAATTGTCTCGTTGATATCAATCAGGCTGGTATTGTCAGTGTCCTCTGCAGTCCTTGTCTCGTCCAGCGGTGCAATTGACGCATCATCATATATATCATCTTCATCAGGGACAACAAATGTCTGGGTCAGGTGGCTTCTTCTAGGACAATTGGCCATAGTGGAAAGTGGGTTGTCAAGCAGAATAGCTTGGGATGAATCATGTCAATTGGTCTATCTATAGTAAGCGGCAGCCTATATGAGGCTTGCTGGCTAAGAGCAAACAGATAGACAAAGATTAGATAGAACAAAGATAGGATAGGACAATGAGGCAAACAACAATCAGCTGTACAGACCAGAAGCTTCCCGGCTCCATACCGGAGCTCCAGCTGACATGGATTAGTAGGTTAGACAAGGGTGTGTATACAGCTGAGAGACTGAGTTCTTGAGGATTGGGTATAGCCGAGGTTAAGCTGGCTGATTCAATTGATTTAGAGTCAAATCAAAAGGTCATGAATATGAGTCAAATCAATCAAATCAAATCAGATTTGATTTGATTTGGAATCAGAAATCAAAATCTATGCCTAGGGGGAGACGCCAGTAACTGCATATATTGCCGCCTGCTCCCACTCTCTTAGAATCATTCCCTCTTCCCCTCTCGTATCGATTAATCCTCACTCCAGGATGACAACAGCTAGAGGACCTTCGCGTTACAATCCAAGTCACGAAAGGTAAACTTATAGAGATCCTTAATTCGAATAGAAGGCTTACTCTTACTAGAATGCACCAACACTCCGCTATGTACTTCAACATCACTAAGAGAGAAGACGGCTCTGTTAATCTCTGCCCCGTCAAGAGCCTGCTATTACAGTCTGATGCCAGTGCAGAAGCAGAAGAAGGCGATCGAAGAGTGTTGCAGGTACTGGCAAGCAGCCGTCGACTACAGCAAATAATGCAAACATCCCATCATGCCAAACTGCAGCACACGCCGCCATCTCGGGGCTCTAGTTTGGCATCCGCCTTTGATGATGGACTCGATGGAACTCGGACAGAGTTGGCTGATGAAGAGCACTACTCTCTGGTGCTCCTTCTGGCAGAATTGGCTTTGGCTGGAATTTTCATCATATATGGTATTCTATGTATGGGTTGACCCTTCGGCACCAGATTGCGCAACTTCCTTGCTAGCTCTATGCTCCATGATCCTCCCCTTTATTGCACGACGTTTTGGTATCAGCAGGCAAATCATAATTAACACTATGATTGCGACAATGATAACAACCAAACCGATAAGAACTAGTCCATTAATATCCTTTCTGGTCGTGCAGCTTCCGCCGAACCGTAGGATCTTGCATTAAGCCCTTCATTGAACTCACCTGGCAGTCTAACTCAAGACGTATCAGCTATCAACTTGGCACTTCATACTCCGCCCTCCGAGCACTCGACATAACTACCATGGCGCCCCGCGCCGTCCACTTCATCCGCCACGCCGAAGGCTATCACAACTCCGCGCACAATGAGGATATACTCGATCCCGACCTGACACCCCAAGGCTAGGAACAATGCAAGCACATCTCCACCATCTTCCCCTACTTCGACCGCATCGACCTCGTCTGCGCCAGCCCCATCCGCCGCGCCATCCAAACGGCCCTTATCACCACAGAACCCTACCTCCAATCCGGCACACACAAGATCCTAGCGCTGCCGCTCGCCCAAGAAGCCACCGACAAGGCCGCCAACACACCCAGCACCCTCACCCAGCTCAAGCAAGAGTTCGGCGACCGCGTCGACTGGCGACGATGCATGGACGTGTACGTTGACTACGACTCCAATGCTGGCACCTTCGCGCCCGACGCCAAGTCACTGCGCGCCCGGGCGCTGGAACTCCGTCGCTTCCTGCGCGATCGCGACGAGAAGGAGATTGTGGTTCTGTTGCATGGAGATTTTCTGCACTATGTGACGGGCGACTTGCATGAGGATGGGAGCCAGGCGAAGGGCGATTGGGAGAACACGGAGTTCAGGAGCTATCGGTTCTTTCCTGAGGGAAGCGAGGATGCGACGTTGAAGGAGACGGAGGAGAGTGTGGGGATGCGCAATGCGAAGGGGGGTGGGGAGCATATTAATTTGGGGAGAGGGAAGAGGGTAAGGGGCGACGATATGATGTAGGGTGTGTAGCGAAGGCAGCAGGAAGAAAGCTATTTCAGATTATTTGAAAGGAGTCTAAGCTGAGAAACAAGAGCGTAATACCGCAGTCATCGTACATGTACATGGTGGACTTTTCTCTAGTAGCCCCACTGCATATCGAACCTTGTGCTACTCATAGCCGAGCCGCTTCCACGCGTGACCCGCTCTACCGCGATTCGAGTGAGTATCCAGCAGCACTGAAACTACGCCTTGAATGGTGTCGCAACAGCCTCACGCTTCATGAGCCCGTTGGGGTTCCAGGGAACGGTGACCAACTTCCATACAGTGTCGCAGTTGGACGAGTCCGCAGGGCTAATCTGAAGCTCCTCCTTATCGTAGATGCGGATGTCGACAATGTCGTCTCGGTCGCCACGGGTAAGCGTGCACTGCTTGAATCCGACCAGATTCTTGTTCCCGGCCTCTTCCGGTTTCGCCATGATTATCCCGGCAGCGGCCTTTGCGAATTGGAAAAAGATATCAGTCGGTTTGATTGTGCCAGCCGCCATCTTGAGGACTGTCGCCCACTGCATTCCCGCCTTGGCAATCGGGTCGCTGAGCATCTTGTTAACTTGGAAAAGGAGTACGCCTCCCAGCCCGGTCATGAACTCGTCGACTAAGCCCTGAGCGTTGGCTGGCTTGGTCGTCCGGAACTTTATCTTTCCTATGCTCGCACCGTCGGTCATCGGCTCGCCGAGTACGGTCCACCCGACCTGCCACCAGTCCGCTCCCATGTGTCCAGTCAGGTATTCGACTTCCATCGAGGCTTCGGTGGTTGCGCCTGGAGCAACATTGGTCCACGTGTGCTCTTCTGTGTTGCGCTGCCCGAAAATGGTGCCGTAGGCGTGGTTCACCTTGACGGCAGAAAGGTGCATGGACGACTTGTTTTCGATGCGGACTTTGGTGTGTCGCACGGTGGAGCCCAGGGCGAGTGGGAGAAGGCAGCAGAGGTATGCGAGGGCGCAAGTGAGCTTCACCATTTTGATTGTGAAAGGCGACAAGCTTGTCGGTTCGTGAAAGTCGAGTGAAGAGTCAGGTATCGAGTCGAGTTTCTTGCTGTGAGTTTTGCGTTCGTTGGTGATGCAGCAGCAAGAGGCAGAGTCGAGCTGAAGATTGAGAGGCTGGTATGTGAAGAGTGAGTATCTTTACTTCCAGAAGCACCAGACTCTTATGTATTCACTTGGTGGCAGTGCAATCCGTGTGTCCATCGACGAGTGGGTTCAGCAGACCCGTCAAGCCAAGCCAGGCAGACCCTCAAGCTCGTAAATTTAAAGTGAGCTGATGTGAGATCGTCCCACAGCTCGTCCACGGTGTGAGAAGCAGCCCTGCTTCTGAGGCTTCCTTGCGCGACAGCGCATGTGCGCCACGGCAAAGCCAGCTCTACTCGCGACGCCCGTTGGTAATTCTGCAGTTGCGCAGACGTACAGGTGCGCTGCGCGGGCGCATGAGGCGGTGAAGTGTCTTAGTAACCCCACATGCCAACGTTACGCTACCCCCTGTAGGGTCATGACCTGATCTTGAGAACCGCCAATCACATCGTACATGGAGATTCTCGTACCATAGCCCGATCGTAACACAAGCTGAAGCAGCCCTGCTCTCGAGCCTCTCCCGCCTTGCGGTGGCGCACTTGCGGCTGAAGCCCGTCTGCAACGTCCTCTATTTTTAACGCTGTGGTCGTATGTAATTTGTATGTACCAAATTCTAGCACCACCACACCACATTAACCCTAAAAAGCTCCATGCGAACATTATCTCCTTGTAGCCCAGTGTACCATCATCTCATTGTCAGCCCAGCGTACTCAAGACGTTCTCCAAACATGTTTGAAGCACTCCGATATCATTATTGGAAGCCTCACTGCTCTAGTCTCAATCCCAGGTCCCAAAGAGAGTCGATCCGGGAAGCAGGCCCATGTAGCATGCTGTTTTCGCTTTCCACAACACGTCCATTTCGCGCAAGGCTCTGTCGTGCGAACCGCAAATGGCGCGCCGCCACAGCGAGTACACAGTGCAGTAGATGTGCGCGCTGCCCGCCCAACGCCTATCGAGATAACTGCTGAACAGAGGAGATGTTCGGTGAAGAGCACTGCGACTCCACACAGACCCCAGCCGGCAACGACGAACACCTGTAAGCCTTCGATCCTAGAGGCGGAAACGACGTCCCATTCGCATGCTTACCGTAGGTACCCGCCAGCAAGATCAGCAACAACCCCGCGACGGCAGTAGCGACGCAGATCAGGACAATCTTCAAGGTCATCGGCTTCGGCATAATAGTAGGCATTGGCGGAGGCGTCCCCAGCGCTGAAGCGGACATCCAGCTTAGGGATGTAGTAGTCGGGCGACCGCGCCAGGCTTTCAGCAGTGTGTCGCAGTACAATAAGAGGAAGACAACGTCGAGCGGTCTCTATTAGCTTTAATGCTATGAAGGGGCAAATGGGGGTCAGGGTTAGGAAAAAAATAGTTGATCTTTGGAGGCCAGCTGATAGAACAGAGCTCCCTGAGCACAATGGTACCCTCTGCTAAGCTCTGTATGCTATGGTTGTTGTACTGTTGCTGTTTAAAGTTGGGGTACCTGAGGTTGACAACCCAATTTGGTAAGGTCAACTTTGAAAATGCACTAACCTAAAATGTAATTTTGGTGACCCTTTGACCAACATCAGGTATTGGATTAGCAAAAGGGCAAGAAAGCAATAGTCAAAGGTTAGCTATATGCCTATAGTCATTCTGGAACAGATGGCATCTATTTTATACCTTATTCTCTTGTTTGTAGATCAATGTTCTGTCTTCTATGATTGCATACCCAATTGGGAATTTTGGTGACCCCTATGAACCTAATTGGGAATTTTGGTGACCCCAAAAAAATGTTACTTTTAGGGCAACTTTCAAATACAAGACAAACTTTATAGCTATCACCATGCCTTCAGGAGGACCTAGAAGGTATGCTACTATAGCTAAGGGCAAAGCAACAAGAAAGCAACATGACCAACAATGTACACTGCAAAGGCAGTAGCCTTAAGCCCCTCCTGAGTTCATTGCTTATAAACCTCTCCTCCCTGGAGACACACCACACCCAATACCCATTGATATAGGGCTACAAAGCAGCTCAGACATCCCTATACCCA